GTAAAAAAAAGTTAATTAATATATATATAAATATATATATATATAAAACACGATTTACTCGCGCGCGGCGACGCGACAAAATGAGTGTCCTTCCTAGGCAAAGTTGACATTCCGGACGCACATTCCGGACGCGCCGGTGCAGTCCGTTTTGTCATCTGGGGTCGCTCGGACGACGTCGTCGACAATCGGGTCAAAAACGCGTCGGAATTCAAATTTTATTAAATTTCGACCCGCGATCGATCGTCCCAAAAGGTTTATTCGAGTCTTTGACGGGTAACAGTGCAAGTGATGCGAATTGTGGCGATCGGACGTGTCGACTCTCTGAATTGCAAAGTTTTGTGCGCGGGAGTGCGAATTGTGCAAAAGGCCACCCTAAGGCTCAGGAAGGTCTTATAGGGAATCCCTTTTGGGTTTCCTCATGTTGGTTTCATCCTTCTAAGTGCTAGAAGTTGATACCACACACGCGAAACTCCAGAAGGGGACGGAAGCGAGTTGAATTTCTAGAACAAGGCGGGTCCCATTTCTAAGGTTCTAAGATAGTAGAAGAGAGGTCTCTAAGGCTAGATCCTAAATCCTAAGAGAAAGATTAGACCTCACTAAAAAAGAGGTCAACAACAACTACTGCAGAAGAGAAGTGTTACATATTTCTTTCTGGATTGATGGATTCGATCAGACAACCATTGGTGCCATTGGGAATTGATGATTATTTAGTGTTGATAAAACTTGCTAGGCGAGTAGAAATTGATTATCAACTCACTCAGAAACATAAAAATATGCACAAGAAGAAGAGTACTGATGAGGGAGAGCATGTGAACCAATTAGAGGGATCCAATGGGAAGAAACCCAAGTTCAGTTCTGATATATTTAGTGGTGGCACTTCTTGAAGTACCGTAGTCACTTGTACTAAGTGTGGAAAACAACATAAATGTGAATGTTTGATGGGTTCTCATACATGCTACTTGTGTCACCAGCCTAGTCATATAGCGAGATGTTGTCCATCACTTGGTCAGAAAACCTTAGAAGAGTAGAAAACAGTTTGAGCTCCTTCACAGAAGCTTGCAGGTGGACAAGGAAGGATAAAATCTATAACTTCAACGCCTACTCAAGTTCAGCTAAGGCGATCTATTCGACCTCAAGTTTATTCCCTTACTAGTAGAGAGCCGGAAGAACCTGCTGCTGATGTTGATGCTACTAGGGATTGATGAGTGTTATGTTTTATCGCATGTTATAGGAGTGACATTCTAGTGTATATGTTTTTCAGATGATGTGTATTTTGTTGTTGTTATGTTACCTTGCTTTAAATGTAATCTTACCTTGTTTCAATTGATGAGGGTAGTTTAGCTGAGTCAACTTGTATCAGGTTTTTGCTTTAGAGTGACAACTTTTCATCTTAATGAATTACCCTCAGTTTTCTTCATAAAATTTATGGATAGTTCATGTGTTTCCTACAATGATTAGAGGCTTGGAGTAGAAATACAAATTTCGAGGATAATTTTTATAAGGAGGGGAAATTGTGATTACTGAATTTAAAAAAAAAGTGAATTTGGTTAATACCGTCCAACCGGGCCTTGTCGTGACAGGGGAAGCGAAGGGGAAGGGAAGGGAGTCTAGGCGGGGACAACAAGGACAGCAGGATAGGCTGCAGTCCAGGCAACAACAAGTCAGAAGGAAGGCTGGAATGGCAGGACAACAGGTTGGACAAAAGTTCTGGGGCAAGAAGTGAGCGGGAAAGTTGTTGAAGGGTCTAGGCTGGTTATGTTGGGCGGTAGCAAGCTTGGAAAGGGAAGGAGATGGCTGGAATTGGTGGAACTATAGGGGATAGCAAAAACTTCTATTCTTGTGGCTACAACAAGGAAGGGAAGATGGGGTTCAATGCGGGAATGTTGCAAGAGATTAGGGGAAGGATAATCATCACCTCGGGAGTGAGATACAACCGAAGCATCACTCAAATCCTTAGATGTCAAAAGGAGAAATGGACGCCGATGCTGTCGTAAACAAACTCATGCCAAAAAGAAAAAATCTAAAATAAAGGAATCATATAAATAAGCCATAGATAATTAGGATTGAATCCGCTATAGAGAAGATGTGCTAAACCTACGTGGAAGAGCCAGTCAACCATCCTTGGTCTGGACCGGATCAGTCGAGATGAAAGAAATTGCGGGAAGCCGTGGCTACCAGTTGCACCCACATCGCTTTAAGCCTTTACATTTTACACAATCCATAGAATATTTAAGCTGTACTGGAAAGTTTTTGGTGAAGTTTGTAATTTTGTTAGAAATTAGTACAATAGGCAATGTTATCATCTCTGGTGTCTTACAATATTTCTTAAGCAGGAGTCAAAGTTGAAGGCATCTTACGACAATCTGCTGATGTTGAAGAGGTATTGCGCAGGATCCAGGAATATGAGCAAGGTTAGTTAGCATTTTTTTTTTCCTGCACCTTTCTTAAGAGAATTGTTCTTTCCATGCCAGTGACACTGCTGTGCATTTCCATGGTCACTTTTTTCTTTGTGACGTTTAATGTCTTTCCTAGTAGATTCTTTCATTTTATTTTTCCAACTTTAGGAAAAACTGAGTTTGCTCCTGATGAGGATGCTCATGTTATTGGCGACTGCATTAAGGTAATTCCTTTATTTATTTATTTTTTTTTTGAGAAGTAACTATATAGCAATTTTCTTATTATTTTTTCAGTAAATTGATTTGAACCATAGTAAACTACACTTTTACATTTTACTTGCAGTATGTTCTCCGGGAAATGCCATCATCCCCTGTTCCAGCATCCTGCTGTACGGCTCTGGTTCATGCTTATAGTACGTTGTTCATGGAAATAATTTTTTTCTTTTATGCTGTCATAGTGAGATCTTTTGTCTATTCTTTCTAGTACTTGTGACTGAATGAAGAAGAGAACGAAAGAATAGAATGCTGATTACAATCACTTGGTTCAATTCAAAGCATTAAATTTCAACTTGTGAATAACATCTATATCCATAGCATGCCATAATAAAGAGATAATAGTTCGGACTTGAATTTTTCTAATATTATCTGCTGTTCATTTTTCTTTGTCTTTCAGTTTTTTTTTGTGTGTTGTTTTTGGTTTAGTGGAGGCTGATCTTGATTCTGTTACTACTGATCAAGATTGCTTAGTTCTCTGTGTCTTCACCTTTGATAGTTTATAAAGAATTTTTTTTCTATCTTTGGAGTTAATTTTGGATCCATTGCCTATGGTTAGTGAAGAAAAACTAATTATAAAATATTGTAATGATTGACAAATAATTATGAATTTTCTAAGATGCGGCGACGCTGGCGCTACTAGCATCATAATACGGGCACTAAACTGCTCTCTGATTCAGGGCGCTGGATCGAAGCCCCTCAAGACTTCGTGAGAGCGGGAAACCGTGCGAAGTCGCGAAAGCGGGAGAATTCACGCTAGAGCAGGGAGGCTGCAATCGCGAAATTTCACGATCTGTGAGGAGGCAACGCGATCCAGAGGGGCTATTTTGCATCAGCTTTTTTCTGGGAAGAGTTTTCTGGATTCCTCTTGCCTTTTCCACACTTTTCCTTTGTGTAGAATCTTCCTCCGTCTGGGGGTGCCTATAAATTGCTTTCCTAGGTGTGTGGGGAGTCAGTTCTTGCTGTGTTTTGTTTCATATCTTCTGTGTGGAGTTTCTTTCCCTTTTGTGGACCGAGGAGGTGGTTGTGCTTCAGCTGTATCCCCTTCGAGGTGGTGATTGCATCCTCCCTTTTAGCTTTTCCAAATCTTCTCTTCCCAACTCCTTTGCTACTGAACTCTTCCACCGTCACCCTGACACACCATTCCCTCTTCCCGCAGGTTATTACTGCTGTCCCACCTTCTTGCCTTCTTTCAAGCTCCTCCCAACCCCCCTCACTACCGTTGCGACCATCTACAACCCTTCCCATTTATTGTCCCTATAGTTCTGCACCTTTCTTTTGCTACCAATAGCCTCTCGTAACTGTTGTCATCCTTCCTAATCATTCATATCTCCCTAGCCGACCTCCACCGCCCAATGGGATACATTTAGGAGTGTTTGTGTCATTTTATGCCTTGTGTTGTTATTTCCGTTCGAGTCATGTAGGATTTTAATATTAATGAAAGTTTTTTTTTGTGTTTCTACTATTTTTCCTACTACTTCCGGTATCATGCGGGAAACAACACCTTTGCAAGATTGTTAGCATTGAATCCATGTAATGGAATGGGTCCTTATTTTTACTCGTCTACTTATCATTAGCATTTAATGCTATAATTCACTTTAATTTATGTTTATTTTGGACCAAGAAATTTTTGTATTTCACTCGTTCAAATTTTCTGCACTATTACCTGTTCAATTATTTTCTCTGGTTCTCACGTTTCTACTATATCCAAAAAATCATGCAAGCTTAATCAAAATGCTTATTGTTGAATTGAACAATTTTAATAATAATGCTTGTAGAATAATCATTGGAGTTAGCATAATTTTTTTATGGTTAAGCACGTGGTGTTCTCAGGTTGTTCATATGAGGTTTTAATTGAATATTTGATATCAGGAACTCATTCTGGGTCCAGAGTCGAAAACATACGTGATGCAATATATGAAACCTTCCCTGTGCCTAACCGTCATTTGTTACAAAGGTAAATAGTGAAATCCTATAGTACATTTTATATTGGTGTTGACTTATATAGAATATGTAGAAACAAATTTTATTTTAACATTGTCAGTGGCCTCATTCTGACTTGTGATTATCAATACTCAAAAACTGATTATAATTTTGTTCTTTTCTTCATGTTTAAAAACTGATTCTTTTTGTTCTTTTCTTCAAAAACTGATTATATTTTTGTTCTTTTCTTTTTTTTTTAAAAACCGATTCTTTTTTCATTATCCCGTTGCTTATTGAAGTACATTGCGTAGTTGGGACAGAAGCTATATTGAATACCACAGCTATTTTAAAAGTGCTAATGTTGAATGAAATTTAGTGCCAAGTCATTGTTATTATAGCATGTGCAGATGAGCGTGATTCCGTAATGCTTACCGAGCTAAAATGCCCCTTATTCCCAGGCAAATGTGAATTAGGAGAGTCACCAATCTCTTTTCATTTTTATTTCATATTGATCACACATTAACAATTCTTTGTATTTGCTTTCGTTGGGACAAGGTCTAACAAACCAGATTAACAAATTTACTGATATATTTTTCTTTGTCAATTTTTATGATACCAACTTGCCCTTAACGATGATTAATAGGAAATTGGTGGCACATCCTTATACATTTTTGGAAAAAGTACATGCCAACAAATATATATTACGCAATTGCAATATGGATATGTGCTTTCAAGTTTCATCATAATACGCTTGTTTCTCCTTTCTCCTTGCTGGAAGAATTGGGGAAGATATTTCAAAATGTATGTTACACAAATGTCTCAAGTAGTTTGTGAAGAACATTTAATTCATCATTTAGTCTTTAGAATTTTCTTTGCTAAGAAGTTAAGTCTTAATAGTGTATCGTGTTCTCTTTGACGTCATGTGCTACTGTGTTACGAGGGCGCCTAGCATAATGGCAAGTTTGTCTTTTATAAGTCTAAATGTAATTTATTCTTTTATTATTTTTGTTGTTTGGTATAAATATGTTTTTTATGTCTAGTGTTAGGTTTTATGCATGAGATTAAGTTATGAGTCTTAGGTTTAGGTCTTGGGAGAGATTTACTACCTCTCAAATTGTAGGAATCGGGAGAGACCGTCTATCTCTTGAATTGTAGTTGTTTATGTTTTGTATTTTGTGTGAGTTGTTTGAATTATTAAAGAAAATATTTGTATTTGTCATAATTTTTTGTGGAAAGACGTGCTAATTTCTGCCTCATATCATAAAAAATTGGTAGCATGGTTTAGCCTGTTGAAATCTGAAATGTATAAAATCGTCAAATTTTCTGATATCCGTTGCCCGACTGGAATACACCGCCATGACTGAAACTCGAGATTGGAGGTAGTTGCGAAGAAAAGCGCAGGTTCACGACATTATAAGAAGACATTGATGGGATCGTGAAATGATGATGTACAGTCGTGATTACAACAATCCATGAAGGCAACGACGGGCTAGCAGCTTACATAAGAAGGCAACGACGTACGCGCGACCTTTGCCAGACCACCAACTTTTTGCGAATCTTCATGTGGAAGGCAACGACGGGAAGCAGCTTATGGAGATCCAAAACTTCCTCGGCTTTCTCCGTTGCTTGATTCTAGTGGTCTGTCGGCTTTTTGGCTGTAGGATCGGTGTGGAACAATCTGGTGGAATTTCTGTTGAGAGCTCGCGTGGACCGTGGAGAAGAATGAATTTTTTTCTTAAACTTTCTAGTTCTAAACAGGAAGGATTTTGGGAAAGGAATGTAGGATCTGCATAAGGAAGAATATTCCTTTCTTCTTCTTCCCTTTTGGAGAAGGTGCTGGAGAAGATTTCAGGATTCCTGGTAGAGCAACAGTAAAAGCTTTTTTTGAGGCGTGGAAAAAGCAAAGCTCTTTTGAGTGAATTTCGAAGGAAAAAAAGGGACTTTTGTAAGATATCAGAGGGCGCAAGAGGATTTGCATCCAAACTTGACAACGGAATTGCAACTACAGTGACAACGGGATTGAATAGATTGATGTGATCCAAAAACACGTATTTATGTTACAATTGTGATACGAGCTAGCTGAGGAGATGGGATGGGAATTCGGAATATAAAATTTTTCTTTGAGATCAAAAATTTTTTGAAAGAGATGACATCAACGAAGGTAGATGATTTGGAGAAAATAATTAGAGGAAGATATGAGTCAAATCAAATCTGTAATGGAAGAAAAATTCTTAACCATAGAGCAGAGGTTCGCTTCTATGAAGAATCAACTGGAGGTTCGCTTTGAAAGCATGGGGGAAGTTCGAGAGATGCTAAAGAGGCTCTTTGAGGTGCGATTTAAGAATCCACCGACAACTCAATTTATAAACCATGGAGAAGGGATTATGCCAGAGGTTTGTAGGAGCGCGAAGAAGAGAGAGAAGCAGGGAGGGGATATTGTTGTGGTCGAAGGAAGGAGTTGTGCCCTCGATACATGAAGGGAAACAACGGAGGAAGAGGAAGTTGGGGTGGAGAAGTTAGAGTTAGGAAGTTGAAGATGCCAATCTTCGAGGGGGAAGACACACATAGGTGGGTGTACATGGAGGAGCAATACTTCACTGTGAATGGGTTAGATGAGGACGAGAAACTCATGGCGGCAGGATTGTGTTTAGAGGGGGAAAGCTTTAGCATGGTTTCAGTGGAGGGAGGCTAGATACTCAATTTGTTCGTGAGATGAATTTATGGATTGTTTTTTAGAATATTTCTCAGCCATTCAGGAAGGAGACCTACACGAGCAATTTTATGCATTGATTCAGGAGGGGACAATCATGGAATATAGCGAGAGATTTGAACTATTGTCAAGACGGTTGTGGTGAATTTCTGAAGTAGGACTGGAGGGGAATTTCGTAAAGGGCTTAAAACACGACATACGAGCAACACTCCAACCACTAAGACCGCAAGGACTGAGGGAGATGATGGAGATAACCCAGATGGTGGAAGACAAGAACCAGATGAAGAAAACCAACACAAGCAACACAGACTATGTTACGAAACGGCCGCAACCTGTTGACCTCATTTTTGTGAGGTCTTTTCTTCTCCTCCTTAGAGCCTAGGTTCTAGCTCTAGAAATTCCTATGGACCATCTTAGAAAACTAGAATTGAGACTCACC